TTCATATTTTAGTACCTAGTGTACTGGGTTTTGAAGTTTGGCAAAATCATAAGATAAAATGCCTGAGACTCATCGAAAGTATTCGAAATTCACCCGCGACCTGCATCCAAGAAAAGGTTGCTCATCACTGCTTTACCTCATAAAAATTCTATAATGAGAAATCCACTTCCGAGATTTACATTTTTCTAACGTGTGAAAGGCTTCATAGAAATCATCGGTTAACGACAATTTACGGTATCGCGGCTAGCACGGTCACGGTTTCGTACCCAATCGTGGGTAAAAAGCTTAAGACTTTCAATATTTTATGGACGAAGGGTGTGATATGTGAAACCACAAAATATTGAAATTCATAGGCAAAAATTCGTCATGCAATAACAACAAATCAGAGAATATGTTGCGCCGCTCTAAACATGGCATACTTCGAAGATGCCAAGAGTTTTTGCACATAAATGAGGATCACATGCGTGATATCACTTTCAAAACATAAATGGCAAACTATTTCGTTTGAAATCTTGTACATGATTTGTTTTAAAATATTCAAAAGTTAATAACAGTCTATTTATAATCGCCGGTTTTCCTGTGGCATTCTGTATATTTGAATAAATGTATCTAGAACATAAACTAGAATTTCTCATTGTTATCACAAAGTGAATAATTTTATATTCAATTACACAATATTCATTAAGTACTATATGATCTTCATTTTGTATGGATTTAGGAGAATCAAATTGTCCAGCAACATCAGAAAACTATCGCAGTATTTAAAGAACGTTTTAATCTTGCATATTACATGATTAAACAAAGAGAAATAAAGGATTTCGAATTGGACTTCATCCAATTCGAAATCCTTTATTTCTCTTTGTTTGAAGGGCCGTAAGCTGTATTGTAATTATGACATACAAATAGTATTTAATTGCAGCCCAATAAGCACCCATTACAACTTATTTTATACGTTAATCTATTTTTAATATCCCGTTTAAATATCCATTCATTTACGAAATTACAAGGGTCATTTTTAAACTCTTTTTCACTGAGCAATAGGAGTTTGGACACTTTTCGCATAATCATTCTTCGATCAAGACCAAATAATGAGGGACGAGACCCGAAAATTTCGGTTATATTTAAAATAATCTTGAAGATTCAAATTTAAACACGTGTTTCCCAGAGATGAAGGAATAGTCCTTAGTAGCTGGGGGCCAATTGGCCATCACAAAGATTAGTCACTCAAGTAGCAAGTTGTAAGTAGTCTGGAGGTTTGAAATGGGTTGCAATAAATTAAATTTACAAATAGGTTATTTGTTTGGAGTATCAATAGCAATTCATTACTATCTGTTCCATATCCAGTTAAACATCGAATTTGAATATATCGATATCTAACCATACAGATTTCTGTATGTTTGTACGTATTGATGTACAGTGAAACCTGCTAACGTAGTCCCTTCAGTAGCACATTAGCAGATTTCACCGTTACGTATTGGTTTTAATGCCATAAACCTTCATATTCTCAAATTTATATATACTAAATTTGAACTTTATTAAACTTTTAATGGAAATTTATCAATAAAAAATTTGCCTTTTAGCCAAGATATATAGAGATTTTAAGGAAGAAGGAATCTTTGATAAAGGAAAGATTCTTTATAGAGAGGTTAAAATGTCTTCATAAATCTTTTCCATTATAAGAAAGAATTATAACCTTTTATTTTTCTCTTGTAACTTTATAAAGGAAAGAATAAGAAATTATATAAAAAAAGAGATTATAGCGCTCTTACAGGATAAAATAAGAGATTTTCCTTAAGTTCATTCCTAGTAAAATAATTGATTTAAAGGAAAAAAATCTTTTCTGTCGTATAAGAATGATCCCTTTTCCTTTATAAAGGATTTTTTTTCCTTTAATAATCTCCTTTACTTTGGGGGGATCTTTAAAGGGAACAAAGGAGACTCTCTCGTATCATTAAATATCATTTTCATTACAGAAAGTTACAAAAAAAACTTATTTTTACTAACAGAATTTTTTTTTAAATTTCGATACTTTCGTAAAAAATTAATCGAGTTCATTTTAATATATTAACACGAAAAGACTTTAAATAGAATTAGAGCTATAACCTAAAAAAAGGGGGTCATATTGCCGTTTGAATGTATAATATATAAACCAAGCTCTCACACACAACCTAATTATTAAGGACAACAACAAAAGAGAAGGGTGCATTATAATTTCAGATTTTGCAAACGTTCGATTACATTAAGAGATGATAGTTGTACCTGTTGAACTAACAAAAGTTTGAACAATTGGAATTCACTACCGGTTTTTGTTACACACCGAGAAAAACACGTGACGGTCACTGACATCATCAAATACCGAAAGCAATAGGAAGATAATAACTGACTTCTCCTCCTCCTGCAATTTGTCAGTTACCTTTTTTTGTAACGTGCAGGGGTGAACTATCATTACTGCCATCTGGTGACGAAATTTACAATTGTTCTCTCGTGTCCTTTTCTCAAGTCGTGCGCTTAAGTAAAGCGTACCCTATTGAAACAGAAAACATTTGATGTAGACAAATATGTTGACTGATATTTTAGTAATGGAGGACAGATTTACACATATTTTGTGCAAGTATTGTAATCTTGAATTGCAGCACTTTCTTCTATCTTAAATGAAAAGTACTTAGTTGTGATATTTATTCCAACGTTGTGTTATTTTTGTGAAGAGAAATAGGACTCCGCATACGGGGGTATGTGAAGGCGTAGTGTTAGATTTATTGTTTCCATACGTTGACCACATGCTTGAATGGTTAATAGCAGCCACGCGCTTTATATACTTTTGTAGCCTGAAGCATATTATTATAAGACCGAGATTGAGGGGTGCGAAATTTAATTCAAAACCACCAAATGGACCCCTTCTCTCCAAAATGAAAACAAATGCCTCCAACTATATTAGGAAAAATAATTGCTTTGTAACTTTCTACTATGTAAAAAGAATTTTATGGCTGTTTTATTTTCAATTATTCAATTATTTTACTCTAATGTTATTTATAAAATTTTATATTCTGGTCTCTTTGTAATGTACAAGTGTATAATGATCTAAGAATCATTTATATTGATTTAAAAACCTAATCATTTTATTACCAGCAAATGTGACATTGTCAAAGACGGGCTGCAATTTTATAAAGCTGGAATTTTCAGTGAGTGAAAGTGTTAGCCCCCCCTCTCTCTCTCGCCAATAGACTGAAATCATTTACCTTGAATTTCTTTGCTCCACCTTCTAAACAATTAAACATTCATTGTTAGAAAAATAAAACTCTTAAGAGTTAAGTGGAATTACATAAAAACCCAATACGAAATCATCAGTAAATGAATGAATGCATTTGAAAATAGCCATTAGGTCTTAATGTTACTCTCCCCACAGAATTGATAAATTCAATGCCAACTTAATATAGGTACACGCATATTATCGTGTTTTTGGCACAATTTGCACCTTACTTACTGAAATATCCTCAAAAACTTTCTACAGGTAACTGAAAATGCAAAATTCACAAGTACACGACCACAGTGGTCCACCATTCCACAATGACTGCATTCAGCAGAGCAGAGAGTTTTAACTGAGTAAAGGTGTTTCAATCTGCCAAACAATGAATGACATATATGTTAGAATAGGAAGCAGCCAATGTTGATCAGTAAATGAAAGGGACTACTAAAGGTGATGTCGAAACATCAAGCATGTTCCGAAACAGCGGATTACCCCTTAAACCACCCTACATTCATTTAGATATTTCATTTATAAATGAAATATACCGATAATCAGGTATTTATCGTGCCTGTAATCCTTCTTGCATATCTTATGTACTTATAAACACAAGATATATTCTTGTTCGAACTGCCCTAAGTATGTCATTTTTAAAGTTGCATGGATGTGGGATTAACAAGATGATAAATTTTTTATAAAAAAAGTCTACCTGTTTGTGAAAACATTAAAGCTTTTTTGTAGGTCATGTGAAACATTGGAATCCAAGAAGAGAATTGCTGTGTTTGTGAATGAGTGGATTAACATATGTGAAACAATCGAATCTTCCTGTTCCGTAGCCTCCAAGTGATTATGACACATTGCTTGGTATGTGGCCTAACCCTCCTCCAGCTTATGCAACACCTGAACAAGGTATGCACGTTTAATGAGTTTGTAATGGAGGATGTTTCATGTTATCCAGCTATCAGAGCTCTAGACTGCCTCCTGGTTGATAAATGATCATGTTTTATTGCAGTCTCACACACTAAATTGTTTTGTTGGAAATCCTGGAACATTGAGCATATGGTATTTAATTCTGATAAAAGGCCTTGTGGGAGCAGGCCTACTGAATTTCTGGGAGAAGTTTGCTGGTACTTCTGCATACGTTAATCCCACTCAAACATGCACAATCATAGCGTTTCTCTCTTCTTGTGTCCACGTGTTTTGTATATTCTGCAAACAAATGATTTTGTTACCATTTTCACAAAAATGTATACAGACATTTTATTGTAAAGAGTGATTTTAAAAACAAATATTTCTAAATTCCTTTAGTTTTATCCTGTAAACAAAACAATTGGTCATGTATAAATGCCTCATTAAAATTACTCATATCTGTACAAAAGATATATTTCAAAATTTAATCTTTCAATATTTCTTTTACAGAATTCTTCCTTTTTTTCAATGTTAAAAATATTAATAAATGAAGCCCAGAGTTTTTATTTNCCCCCATCCAACACCACCAAAGAGCTCCCAACTTGCTGTCTGCTCATTCTGACTTCTTTCTTCTTCCTCAAAAATAATGGAATTTGGACAGACCTGACAGTTATAGTCACTACTGGCTTATAACTGAGGTCCATCCAAATTCATTTTTTTCATCTGAAAAGACTTTGTTTCAACTCCTCTTTCCATGCCAATATATTTTCATTTTATTTAAACAAAAAAAATGAATGTCCCTGAACTGGATGCATTTCTCTTAAGTGCATCAAAAATATTTAATTTTTTTAAACTTATTTTAATATAATAAACAGTAACATCAAAAACTAATGTCAGCATTTTAATCCCAAGATTCGTCCTCTGCTGTATTCACACTGAAGACCTCAGTCTTTGGTGATGAATAACTGTCTTCCCAGGAATCCTGTAAAACAGAATAACGACAATATTAGAAGTAATAAAATGTTACTGACAACTAAGAATATTAATAAATTGATTGTTTTATCACCAACAAATGACTTATGTCAGTAAAACTTTTGTAATAAATTATGTGAATATTGTAAAGATTTCTATTTACTATGCGAGTGGCCTTAATTTATGACAAATTTGATTTTCAAAATTTGCTTTAATTGGCACGATTGATCACCAATGCCGCTCAATACTAAATTATTTGAGCAAAATTTTTTTAGTGTTAGGAAATTTGTTATAAAATTAATTTATTTGATATTTAAGTGGTTCATTGCATTGGCAGATAAAGTTTTAACGGTAATTTATTTTGTAGAACAAGTTCCATAACAGTTCAATTTAACCCTCAAACAATCCCTTAAAGCAATCATCAAATTATCAGTATAATTTTATCTGCATAATCTGATGAAGTTCTTGCAGAGAATTATATCACAAGATTACTTAACATTACAAAATATGGAAAAAATCATTGTAAACTATAATTTGAAACATTATAAATTTAGCAGTCTTGAAATATAGGGTGCATTCAAAAATATCAGTGCTGTACCAGCACCTCTGTTCAAAATATCCAGCAACTTCTGGTTGCTGCCAGCATACTGCAAGTGTCTTTTCAGTGCTCAATAAGCCAGCAAACAAGACGGCAGTCATCACAAGACTTAAGAGCTCTATTTGTATTGACAATTTTGAATTTAATTTAGTTGATGAATGTACCTTGAATAAATTAAAATTAGGTTAGTACATTAATAAGCTATTTTAATATACTAGTATATCTACAGAAGACACTTAGGGTTCCTACTCAAATTTTTGCTTTATTTTCCTTGTCTTTCCCTGACCAATTTTGTATAAATTCCCTTACCCTCACGACTCTTATAGTATGTCACACTGACAAAGTAAAATCAGCATTTGACCTACTAAGCATGTATGTTTTGCTTATCCAACATTTTAATTAGTTATTTTTTCTAATTGCTGAATTATTAAAATTGTCATTCTGTTATTAATCCACAACCATAAGTCTACATGGCTTTGAATAAAAATTCAATTACTTTTTATTATTCGTCAACAAATTTTATATAATCCACATACAAAAGTATACATTTATTAAATTTCTCTTAATTAATTTCCTGTACTTTATAAAATATTAATAAACTAGAAAAAAATAAGATATTGCTTTGAGACACAATCAAAATTATTAAAATGAAAAATAGCATAAATGGTATTTATTATCTTTCATTTTAATAATTCGTAAAATTTTTCAAAAAATTTTGTTTATGCTTGGGAGAAATTTTGGGTCCTGAAAATATTCTGCATCCCTTTTCGTAAGTTGTATTGCACCACATTACAAGGGGCAGTCAAAAAGTTCCCAGAATTTACCTGCAGTTAGAAAATGTGATATAAGATAAGGTTATGCATTGCTGTGGCGAGAAGCTCCACATGTCTATTTGCAACGTGATAATGCTCATTAAAGTTTAGACTTACACAGTTGTTACTGTGGCACACAATGTCACAGTTAGGCAGTGTGCAAACATCAAGTTCGTGTGCAAATTGGGGAAAACTGCTGCAGATGCTATTGGCCCTGCAGCAAGTTTACGAGGAAGAGGCCCAAAAAGTGGCATGGACAGTGGTTTCTCCATCATGACAACACACTGAGTCACATCACTTGTTATGCAGCAATTCCCTGTCGACAAAAGTATTCCTGTCATCACCCAGTCGTATTGCTCCCAGTGACTTTTGGCTGTTCCCTACTCTCAAAATGGGCCTCAAAAGAATGAGTTTCACAAGCAGGGAGGATATCATATCGAATACAATGGCCTAACTCTGGAAGATTTCAAAAGAAGCATGCCTGCTTTCAACAGTGGCAGGATCAATGGAACAAGCGTGTCTGTGCAGGAGGGGCCTACTTTGAAGGTGATTACGTCTATGTTGCCATATATTGTGCCACTATAGTGCAGGATCACAATTCTGGGAACTTTTTGACTGCCTCTTGTACTTCTTGCAGGCAGCTACACTTAGTCAAGCATATTAGCATATTGTCAACAAAAATCAACAAAGTGGACAAGGAAGCAAATTACCTGACTTTTCCGGAACACTAATGAAAATCCCAGACTTTTCACTGTGTTGGAATCCTGTACATTACATGATTTGTTTTTAGTTGTTAAAGTGTAATCTCAGGATTGATCTAGTTATAAATAACTCCTATTGAAATTTTAAAAATTATCTTCCCTTTTTGAAATATTCATTTTTCATTAAGCTGTTCTCATTAAACAAGTTCAAACATATAAATTTAATGCAATGTGGAAGTCCACACCATTTATCATTTTCCTTTCTCGATATCCCCAGCAATCAGCATTTGTTTTCACTAGAAAACGCCAATGGGTGCATCAGTTCAAGCAGCATCTCACTAGATTGACACTGTGATTTTGAATATGCCCATACTGTAGATCACACTGTTCATTGCCTTGTACAGATATGCCAACCCTTAGTGCTCTAATATGTGGCTATTTACTTTTCTTGTTGTGGCACAAATGTATTATATCTTTGTATCACTGTTTTGATGCAATAGGGAAACCTGCTAAATGCCTGATTTTTCTTACATAATAACAAACAATTTAGCCACATTGGAAAAAAAAGCATTTAGTAGGTTCACCTGCTGCATCAACATTGTGGTACAAGGGTGTGTTACATTTGTGCCACACAACAAAAATAAGTAGCCATATATTAGAGCACAAGGGGTTGACATATGTAACGACATATGTAACAACAGATATAGCATGGAGCTAGCTAAAAAAGTAAGTACAACTTCATATCAGTTTGGAATAAGAGCACCTTCTTAGTGCAATGTATGGACTGCAAAATCATTTTTATCTGAGACACTGTTGAAAAACTGGAGCCCTGTAATAACACCACATTGGTCACTGTTCAAATTCATGAAGAGTTAATTTGCAGTAAAGAGTACCACTTTTTGAATGTAATTCATCTGGCTACGATAAAGTAGCACTAATCTATATTATGCACAGTTAGTTATCTTTCTATGTGTACTCTATATGAACACAACAAGTTTCAGAAACACAACAAGTCATTACAGTTTATTGTACCAGTTGTCTACTAAACTAAATTAAGATTATCTATTTACAAGTTATTCCTTTCTATGGAATGAAACCAATAATCATCTATATAAAATGCTTATTTTCAGATAGCTAAAAGTACTAATTTTCACACTTGGATCACATTTCATCAGCTAGCTCAAAAACATTCCAATTCAGTTGGAACAGTGATTTGTATATGCTAAGGAGCCAAAGCTGTACTAAAACAAGACAAAAATGTCACTTAGCAAACTGTTTAAATTTTTCACAAACTAAAAATATAATTTTATACAGACAATAATAATAATAATAATAATATAGAGCCAGAAACACAAAGCAATATTTGAAACTAATAAAATAAAAAATTGAGATGATCAATACTAAATTTTACGTTCTTAATTGAATATTACATATAAATTCAAGCCAGACATAATAAAATTTTTAACTCAAGCTATAAAATGGCTGTAGTTCTGGCCACATTACAACTCAAGTAAAAAATCTGTAAGCATCATATTCTTATTAATTATATTTACATATCTTTCATTCTACATTTTTACAATTTTGTAATGACATCAAATACTAATAAAAAAAATTCAGCCTTACTTTAATAGAATTCCTGACATCTTTAGCACCGTAACGGCTTCCTTTTGCAAACGATTGTTGTTGCAACATCCCTGTATGACCACCGGCTGCTTCTAACCAATCTGGCACTATTTGCATAGACTAAAAATAGTACACATTAATTAGAACCCATGCTAAATACACAAATTAAAAATAAAATAACTGAAATAATGTTAATTCTAGATTTCTGACTAAATAGAAAATTTTAAAATTTGTATTCATAACAAAAATTGTATTTATTGATAAAACATTGGAAAGATTTATAGTAATTATTCCTGGTACATAAACCTGTTATATAGAAAGTTAGCATGCACACATTAAAGTAATTATAAATTTTTAACAAATTTAAAATTTACATTATTATTAAACATTTTACACGGTAAAAACCTGTCAAAGATAATCGTGTAAACAGTTTCGATTAAGCTATGTTAAATTTTACAAGCCAGAAATCTGATTAAGGGCCTCTTTCATACAATCTGGTTTGAAACCATAACCATGGCTAGCCATGTCACTAAGCATTATAGCTAACTGTCTACTTGCAGTAACCACTCATACACTATTTTCTACACTTTCAATTAGTTTGATTTTATACCTGTTTGGAGCAGTGATCTGTGGTGGACCAGAGAATACACACCATCTACTAATTACATAAATAAAAAACAGCCAAATAGTTCACAGGGTACATCCAGTAAACATAGAAAGTAATTTGGTAAGAATATTTTCTACATTTAATAAAATAAGGTCAGATGATTGTACATTTTTTAATTACTTTCATTTGCATATATGTCTTCATTTGATGAATTATTGAGTTATTTGTACAATATTTTACTCTTGAGAAACATGCCGTCCATGAAGTCCTAATATGCAGCCCCTGGAACTTCTTGATGGCAACACTAAATGACATACAACACAGATTACAGCTTGCTTGACCAATAGATAGCATAATAGAGGAAGAACATTCTAGTAGTGGACCCAATATATAATAGGTTTGACCCAGTTAGCAGATTTTAAGAGTATAACACACCCCAGATTTTTCATAGAGTAATTTTGTCTCTATCATTAAAAGTATCCTATGCAACATGGGCTGGGGTACTAGTGGCAAAATATATTCAAATTACTTGAAAACTTAACAAAGGGGCCCAGGTATGGAATGGCTAATGTTACAAAAACCAATTCCTCTTTATGATACAAAGCGGATGGTGGAAATAGCATGCCTTTGACCCAGTTAACTAGGTGTTTGAATTCGGCCAAAGCATACCCAGCACTAAAACTGTCAATTTAAGAAGAGAAAGATCATCTACAAGCAATCGAGTAAAAGGATATAAGAATGCCCTGCATATCAGCACTATAATAGCCAAGTTTTTGGACCCTGAGGGTTGAAAAGACATATAAGGCATGATGTAAGGTGGTTTATCAAATTTATGATACACAGAAAATAAGATGCCATTGGGAGATCTATGTATGAACAGATCCAAAAATGAGATCTTTGCATTTTTTTTCCTTCTCTTTAGTAAAAATCCAAATAGTCAAGAAATAGCCAACTGTGATTGTATAAAATCCAATAACTCTTTATTACAACCTTCCTAAGCTAGTAGAATATCGTCATCATACCTCAAATATAGAAGAGGATAACTTATAGTGAGGAATCTAAAATTTTGAACTATGGTTCTCATGACTAACTCTGCCAAAATGGCAGATAGAGTCAAACCCATACATACTTCCTGCTTTAGTACGTAAATGTTTCCATTGAAACAGAAATAATTGTTCTTAGTAATTAGTAAAAGCGTCTCTCTCAACTCCGGTATCTGTGGTATGGAACAACTATTCTTGATTAATAAGGTGTTTGCAAGCATGACGACTTCAAAATAGGTAACAGATGGATATAAAGTGACCACATTTATTTTGAAAAGTAAGTACAAATTTGAAGGTATAGTCCCAGTGCCAGTAGCTGTAAGGGACTTTGCCAATATATTTCCTAGAAAAAACCACTTGTTAGAAAAATTATTCCAATCTTGTCATATCTTGATCACTTGAAGCAAAATGGCCAGGCAAGGCAGACTTTTTTTTGTTTTTTTTTACCTCAAATGTTTCTGCCGGATAAAAACTCCTTATCTTTGTCTGAGACTAAAACTCTTAGATTCAAAGTGTTCAAAAACTGTGTTACAACTCTCCTTTCTTTTCCTGATATAGTAGTAGTGGATGGACACTTTATGAAGATGGATACACTTCCAGCTGAGAACGCAAGTCCTTCTGCTGACAATTTTTAACTGCTGCAATAGCAGGTGGAATTAACATAAATCCTTCTTTGGTTTTGGAATGAATTTTGGGCCACATTGCAGTAAAGAATGCACTGCTTCTGGAATCACTTCACCTGAGTAATTATAGTGTGAAACATTGACCAGGGATCTGCATTTGCCTTGTGCAATAATCAATGGAACTTATTATCCAACTTCATTTTCATTCAGAACAGGAAATGAAACAAATTTTATCAAGTTGTTCATAAAAAATCTTTGGATCACAGATTTTTAACAAAAGCTAAATGTGCAAGATATGCATTTTGTTTGCAACCAGCAACAATTCTCTTCTTGTCTCCAATTAGTCTCACCAGGAGCTTTCTTTCTAGTTAGAGTAGTAGTGGTTGAACACACCTCGGAAAGAAATCATACCTTAGTACATCATCAATTTAAACATTTTCTGAAATTTTTACAGCTATCTGACAATTACAAAATAAAAAAATTATCACAGATTTTCAATTTTTGATTGTTTCAAAAGTATGAACACAGGTGCACAAAAAATGATTTGCGATGTTTCAATATTTTGTAGATCCACCATTTGACTTAATTCAAATACTCTTGTCAGGCATACATTTTATTAGTTTTTGAAGTTGTTCTTGTTTAATATTTTTCCAACAGTCCATGATAGCTAATTTCAGTGCATTTACAGTATTATATTGTCTGTCTTGGCTATAAACAAGATGACCCATAATGCCCCAAACATTCTCTATCAGGTTCGTATCAGGGCTCCATAAAGACCAATCAATCACATTACTTATTTTTCAGCAAACCAATTTTTAGTTGCCTTTCATGCATGAATGGCAATATTATCCTGTTGGAATTACCAGTTTTCTCACCCAATAAGTGATCCAAAAATTATTAAATTTTGATACAACAGTTCTTGATACTTTTCTGAATTTATTCTACCTTCTATAAATACAATGTCTGTTTTACCCCCATCCAACACCACCAAAGAGCTCCCAACTTGCTGTCTGCTCATTCTGACTTCTTTCTTCTTCCTCAAAAATAATGGAATTTGGACAGACCTGACAGTTATAGTCACTACTGGCTTATAACTGAGGTCCATCCAAATTCATTTTTTTCATCTGAAAAGACTTTGTTTCAACTCCTCTTTCCATGCCATCCTGTCTTTGGCTTACATTAATCTAGCTGTTTTATGCAATTGTGTTCATTTTGGTTTGGCAGCCATTTTTGTAAATTTGACATTTTATGATTATGCATACAGTTTCTGGTGAAACTGCAGTTGAAAATTCGATGCTGATTCTCTGACAGACAACTTGTTGACTGTCAGTAGCCAAAAAACCTCTCTTTCATTCCTTCCAAAAACCTTTCTTCTCCTAAGTGTAAGGCATTTAGGCCTTCTACATTGCTTATTTCTGCCATAATTTTCACTGAGTTAACACATTCTCACAGCACATGTAGATCAATTTACAGCTGCCAAAATATGTCTTAGAGATTGTCCAGCTCCTTTTAGTTAGTAAATTTGACGTATTTCCAACTCTGTTAATGTTTTTCCACGAGGAATTGTTTTAAATCACAAAAACTGTTTAAAATTGATGCCATGTTTGTAATAATGAATGATACTAACCTCTGGTGACAACTAATTAAACCAATAATTAATAAAAAAAATGATTATACTAATTTTATGCTCCTGTGTTTATACTTTTGAAACACTCAAAAATTGAAAATCTGTGATAATTTTTTTTTTTGTAATTGTCAGATAGCTCTAAAAATTTTCAGAAAATGTTTAAATTGATGTTGTAAACAACATACTAATATAATAAATACATTACTATTGTTAATGTTTTTGTTATTGAAAAAAGTTTGATGTGTTTAATTTTGAAACAGACTGTAGACAAAGACTTGCTTGTTTGTTGCAAAATGAAATTAAACATGCATGGAAATTTGTCCTTCAAACAAAATGAAAGTGTTTTAGAGGACTGTATAAAGAAGGAAATAATTATAAGAGGAAATGTTATTAGAAGACTATACTGGTGGAATTTTAAAACAATGTTTTAAATATCAGTACCAAATATGTTGAAAGGTATGTACAGTACAACCTAGAATTTGTGACTTCTGCTGAAGAAGGGCTTATGCCCTAAATGCTGAAGTATAGTGCACACCTTAAGGCTACATTAAGATTTTTTAATACAAATTTATGGGTTCACTGCCTTTCTTTTTAACTAGGACTTGTTATATCGAAGTCCAAGTAAACAAGTGTGAGATTTGAAGGGAATATTTTAATAATTTGGTTATATTTTAATACAATGACGAGAAAGGATTGAGTCAAAGGTCGAGTAAAGAAACAAAATGACAAAGTGGAAAACCCACACACATCCTATTTCTCCCGATTTCTTAATAGATAAGATCAATTGAATATCTCTTCAATTTAACAATTAAGATTGTAACCCAAACCCTAACCTTAGTCACTACTGGCAATGAATTTAGTATGTTTGACAGATGTTATCAGTTTTATGAAGTAAAATGAGTAATGATACCTAGAGAGAAGTAATAAATTTGTCGAAACATTCGGTTTCTGACAATTAACATAAACAACACCCGGGTGCAAATTGACCTTTGACCAGATTGCATCAGAACTCCCCCCAATAGCTTCCCTATGGTAGTGTTCCACAACCTTCTTCTACTTGCGGCACACCCATGACTCAACATGGCACACCAAAATGTCATTCCCCTTAAGAACATATGGTATGATACTATGAATAGAGTTACGTAATGCCACTAACCTATTATTAAACAGACATCAACACCAGTGAGAAAATTTGTTTTACATATAATTTCTTAAATACATGAAAATGCATGGCTTGTAATAGAGTAAACAATCATCATCTTATTTCATCAGTGCTGCAGCAGAGAATGAAATAAAAGCATAAGAAACACAGCAACTTTGATGAAAATATATAAATAAAACTTGAAATTAACAGAATATGCAAAAGTCACGTCACACCTTTCACCATATGATGGCACACCAGTTGAAGAACACTGCCCTATGGGATGAGTATAAAAGGGGGGAGTAGCACCTGCACATCAAGGCAATCACCAAAGGGAAGTCTCCAGCACGATCATCATAAGGAAGCCTCCAGGCTGGTCTCAGCTCTATTTGGACCTCTCCTCATCTACTGAAGGACCCCTCAAGACTGGATTGCTGCACCTCTCCCGACAACCTCCACAGGATCTTTGAGGTATTTGTTAAAATGTTTTAAACTCTCTTTCCGCACATAGATTTAACAGACCCATGTATCGGGTTGCCTACAAAAGGATTGTCTTTGTAAATTTACAAAAGGTTATATCTTTGTAGCTTATACTGCATATAATCCCATATTTATCCATAACTTTGTAACCTTATGAATCCTAGTTTTAAGTTTGATATTAAATTTGTTGTTTTGTTGAATCCAGTCTATTATTTGGAGAACAGACACCTATCGACTTACCCATCGACCTCCTCACTCAAACTTAGCCCCCCTAATGCCATCCAGACAGACACGAGATCGGATTTTACCAGCCCGTGCCGGTAAGTGGTCCAAAGGAATTAACCCCTGGCCCTTGGCTTATCTCACAAGTTATATCATCATACATTATCATGTATGATGATAAAACTTTAAATTTATCATGATTTATTTATTATAATGTATAAAATTTATCATGATTTATTTATTATATAATTTATGATAAATAATAGTTAAATGGAATGAAAGAAAATAAATCAAATGCATCAAATAGACAATTTATAAAAATTCTGATTTCTTAAAATGCTTTAAAATTGAACAAAGATTGTTTTGAAGATTGATACTTACATCTTGTAGTATTTTTACAAGATCTGCAGCTAAAGGACTATCTACATCTGGATCAAAAAAACTAGTAGCTTTTCCTAAATTTCCAACTCTCCCTGTTCTACCAATTCGGTGAACATATTCTTGGATTGTTTTGGGAAGATCATAATTTATTACGTGGCGGACGTCTTTGATATCTAAACCTCTAGCTGCGACAGCCGTGGCTACTAAGATTGGCATTCTTCCTGTTCGGAAATCCATCAGGGCTTCCTCTCGTTCACGTTGTAAACGATCTCTAAAGAAGTTTATTTTTAATTAATAAAACAATCAACTTCAGATTATTTATATAATTGCATATACTGAAATATAGCACTACCAAAACAAATACAATTTTCAAATGCTATTCACATTTCATTTTTGTACATTTAAATAATAAATAAATTGCAATAACTGCTTATTTTAGACAAAAATGTTTAGACATTTTTGGCTCTACTTAAGCCATCAGTTTAAACTTACAATATTTGCTTACAAGTTTCTCGGAACAACTTAAATTTCTCTACAGAAATTGGTTATACAATAGCCAATATATACTTTTCAAATTGAGTTCTTTATACCAATATGTAAAAGTAACAAAAAATATTGTAATTACAATAACCACTAACATAAAAAGAACTTTTACTTATATATTTGAGCTAGCAAAATGTTTAAAAGTTTATTCTAAAGACAAATGTAGACGCGATACTACATTCTGTCATAAGTATAAGCTTATCCCAATGAATTAATATTACTTCCTTCCTCCATATGCATACCTTAAAACTGCATGTTTTATTATTTGTAACTGATCTAGAGTTGTCAGAGTATGTGTAAAAGAAAAACTTTAAATCTTAATGTGTGACCCTACATAATAATAACCTTCATTTGTGATAGCTTTATTGCGTATATTCTCAATTTTGATAATTTATCTACATTGCATTTGTCATTTCTTAATAGTCCTGTAACTTTAAAGACTTCTTTCATCATCAAAGAATACCGTACTTTTTGATGTTTGGTGATGTCAGAATTATATGTTTAACTCAAACTGGGATAATTCCAAGTAATTTTCTTTTCCCAATCATCCAACATAGGTATTTATAAGTTAACTCAAATGTGGGTTTTAATACAGTATTTTCATAAACTCTCCAGAATTTTATTTAACTTAAAATAATTAAATTTCATCTATCGAATAAACTAATCAAACTTTTTATAAAGTGTGGGAACTATGTACACCTAAAAATAAATATTTTATCACGAAAGTGGGTGGCTTGCAGACACAGCATGTGTGACCTAGACTAAGGGTATGACTATGCAGACAAATCTAGTATTGAGCAAGAGGTTGCAAGCGATAAAGTTCTCACAAAGGAGAATGACACACAAGTGAGAAGCAATATCTGACAGGGTTTGATATTTATCACATCTCGCCTCTTCTCACAGAATACTGCACATGCACAAGTAGATGGCTTCTCATATCTTTTTCTATATACAATAGATGAAAGGTTTTTATTTCTCCTCAAACTATAGATACACAAAGTCAAATTCTATTTTATTAACAAATTACAACACAGTTCTTTATCCTTTCACGGTTTCCAGAAGAGGAACACCATAATTTTCTTTTATTTGTGTGTGTTCATTATGAAGTAATCCTAACGACAAAAGTTTTTCTTTGCTAGAAGTAAACAGCATAGTTGAACTATTTTGATTTTTACTTCCATATGGTGCAATAATTCATGCTTCTCTGTGATGAGTTCAATGCCATTGTGTGATATCATCATCTCTATTCCATTTTCTTCGTTCGCTTGTGCTGGTGTAGTTTTACTGTACTTAACGAGAGCAGGAAACATCACCTCTTAGCATCACATATTCTCACTCACATCTACATATTTGCACCCTAACTTCCATTTGAATCTGCTTTTCAAACTTTTGTTTCATTCCATTGCCGATGGATTTCTCTGACTAGCTAACATAATAGATGGATTATTGATAAATTAATTTTAAAATGATTATAGTCCGATTTTCTGTAAACATTTTAACCTGTGCCAAAAATTTAAAATGTAGCAATTGCAAAGTGTTTTTTTTTTTTGGGTGATAAAAAAAAGATTGATTTTAGGTGTGAAATACTACATTTTAAAAATCGTTATTAAATGCTTAGGAGTGAACAGATCAACCATTTGGGTTGATCCATTTCTCAGTGGCTTATTTACTTATTTAGTTAACTGTTTTTCAAGTTTCTGGACAACACCAAGAGGTTTACATTGAAAACAATTCTACATAATAAGATCCATAAAAATATTTTACGGCTAGTTTATTATGGGTCACCAATAAACTGATGCACAAAATCTTGATTTTTAGTTGAAACTCCATAACTTGAAACTTTTTAACTAAGTCGAAATTTTTCTCTCCCTCAACTGATTTGAGTTAACCAAGTTCCATTGCATTATCTTTTACTAACTAAATTTGTTTTTTGTCTTTATGCCTCTTGCATTATTTATGTGCTAGAGAAATGTTGATCATATTATTGATTATTTTCAACTGTACAGAGCTCTAATCAATAGAGCCATTTCACACACTTTTATTCTATGTGACAGAAAGAGGAATTCAATCTAATAAAAACAACATTACACAATTATCAGGTACCTATAAAAATAACTTTTGCTTTAATTAGCTATGTCTGATGTTTTTGAATCATCATCAACCAGAAGGTGGCATTTATTTTCCCCTAGAGTCTAGGGGAAGTAAGATGTTACCACTCAGCCAAATGACATTTTAATTCTGGCTTGTAATTGTACATCCACATTTTATCCACTGTAATTGTATTGCGAGAAAGTGTCACCTTCTGGTTGATAATGGTTTGGCCTAGGACCTAACACAAAGGAACCTCTATCTCCCAGTAATATCAAAGTGATGCTTGTCGTTGCATGCAACTGGTTTGGGGATCATCCTCAAAAGATAATGTGTCTTCTGAGACAACAATTAATGCATAGTATTAGAAGAAATTCCTTGCTCATCAAGAACAGCCAATTTTGTTACCATATTGCTGGTGTAGTAACAATGCTGTTACAGAATGGGATTGGGAGAGCCTTTAGTATTCACTTTGTTCACCTGATATGTCTCCCTGTGATTTTCACTTGTACTGAAAAACTAAGGAACCCTTTATGACGTCAACAATTCCCATTTAATTGCATAAAGCAGTCCATGCTCTATTTGTAAGAACAGTTCAACAACAATGCCTGCTGGATATTTGCCAATTGGTGTTAGACATGATCAGAAACTATGCGGAAGGCCTGTAAAATTTTGATACACGCAACCCACTTATTTATGAATAAAAAGATATGACATGACGATTATAAGAACCTTGGATAAATTTATTATTTTCTTATTAACCTTAACTTTTATTTCTTAAAACTTACAAGCTTTAACTGTCACAAAAGTACCATCTTAACTTTTATGCATTTAGAGTGAGTTAAAGTTTATTCCTGATGCATAAAATTCCATGCCCTTCTGATGAAACCATTTTTTAAGTATATAAAAGTGTCATTATAATGGAATTTATGAGCTGGAAAGCACTCCTTTAAAGTTGGAAACATGGAAATCACTAGAAACCAAATCCAGACTATAGAAGGATGCTCCAAAACTTCCCAGAATAATATACAGCAAATTGTTTGTTTTTATATATTAGAGTAAGCATTGTTGTGAACACATTACTGTTCAATAGACATTTTCAGATACACACTTAAAGTTGAGATGATCACAACACTCAGTAGTGATAGTGCATTATTGCTATAGGAAGTCAGCAAGTACCAAACTCGCAGTATCCCAAAAGATGAGAGCCTCAACTTTCCTGATAGAAGTCATTTTAAACTATTGTTACCTTCATGAACCAGAATAGTTCCACTTCATGTTTTCTCTCTGCTGCTGAGTGTGAAGTAGTGATTAGCTGTAGTGCCATCAGTAATCATTCAATTCAATTATTTCTGCTGCATAATAAGCTCCAAACATGCTTCAACATTTTTGGGATTAAAGTTGAGTGTTCATAAAAGTTAAATATGCAAGTTTCCATCATGCACAAAAATTATAAGATAGTATGTATGACAATTTCACATCTGGGTAACTAGCTATTCTTTACATCCAGGCATTTTAGTTTCACAATCACTCTTATGGCTGCACACTTGCTGTCAATGCCAATTCAAAAAGAACAGCAATATTGTGATGTGTGAAGTTGACAAGGAAAATTACAAGAATGAAGAATACAAATTTAGATTTAGTTGATTTGGGCAGAGCCATAGCTTGTTTTCATCTTTGACCAAGAATGACATCATGCATAATGTCAGGCAATACTAGATAGCCATTGGCTGGTTTATTGCAGCTATATGTAACTTTCAATAGAAATTAGAAAACTTCCCTGAAGTGAGATTGCACTAAAAATTGCAATGTACAGTTGTTTCAAATGATTGCATGCAATGTACACACAGTGCAACTTTATGAAAGTTGCCCCGTGTTTGGGCCAGGTAACACCGCAAAATTCTCATGAGATCATTTTGCTATGTCCTGGATACCACATGCACTAACAGAAACCAACAGTCAGTGCATATGGTATTTATTTTATACAAGCTTATCAGTATGACCATCTCACTGTACTCCATAATAATACCATATGAAACAAATATCAGATGCAATGCATTCCTGTCCAATTAAATGAACTCACCCACAGTGAAGCACAGTTAACCACTTCACATTAAGTTGTCATTTCTCACACTGACCCCCATTCCCCACTTTAAAGGCATGACACTATCTGTATGCTTACCTCAACATTACTCCACTGTTAAGAACTTCAATTAGAGTTTACCATAAACATTCTCTTGCTTATGAAAATTTCATTATTCTATGCACTACAATGGGGAAATCCTAGTCCAAGCAAATCACTATTTTGAATTGATACTGTGCACCTCTTTTTATAAATAAAAAATGCACAGACTTGTACTAGAGTGTTGTTATTCATATTAGTCGCATTTGAGTTCAGCTCATAGATGTTAAACGTTTACAGAGTTTACAACTTTCCTGATCAAACTTCTTAACTTTTGTAGTGCTTTATTCCAAAATATTCTAAATATACATAAATACATGCCTGCATAAGCATAATTATTTTTTGTTATAGTCAACTTGCATTAATACAAATCACAAAGGAAACTGTAGTTAGTTTGCTTTATTGAAAATTCAATGAATGTTCTAAGTGATTTTCAAATCAAACAAAATGAGGAGACAACAGTATTCACCCTTAAAGTGTGGAGCAGTATATCAGAGTAGTCGAACAAAAAGCTAAAAGAAATCCATGATTTTTTTTATCTATTAAAGATTGTTTATAAAAACAGAAAATATTTTTTGGTGTCAAATGAGTAAAAAATAAGCCAAATTTGGCATGAAGTAGCCAAACCTGGTATCACTGCATGCACTCCAATATGCAACTAGTACGTTTTTATGGAACTGCATCCATTTAAAGGGATGGGCAGCTTTAAACTTTAACCCCTATTTTCGAAGTACAGTAGAATGGTCCACTAAAATCACATCCTACAATTGGAGGTCAAACCAGTCTTTGTTTACTAGGAGAAGAAAATCTAGTCTACTCAAAAATGGAAAATTTATTACAGTACATCTTTTTATTGTTCACTTCAAAAAGTGTAAAAAGCAACTATTGTTGAAAATAGGATTATTTCTTAGAGGGCTGTGGAGATAATTTATAATTCAGTTTAACAAATTCTGCTAAAACTGTTTGCTTTACCATGTGAAAATTAATGTTGCAACAATGGTATTTTGCCAGGGTAATGGCAAAATTCATTTTATCCGTGTTCATTTTAAGGCAAGTTGACTGTATAACTACTGTTTTTTTTTTTTTAATCTATGTAAACACTACATTTTTAAAATAATCTAGAAATAGAATTAAAAAAACCAAAAAAGTAGCATGTTTAGTGATTATTAAAAACTTACCCATGTATACTTGTTGTAGGATAATTATTCTGAGACATAAAAGAGGCTATAAAATCTGCTGTTCTTTTTTGTTCCACAAAAACTAATGTTCTATCAGTACCTTAAAATAAAAATTTTAATAAAAGTCAGTCTAAAGTAATAAATTTTTAAACAAAAGTATAATTTATTTAGTCTTAAGTATAATATATGAGATCCATCATTTGAAAATACATCTTGTCCACTTTACCAGATATTGAAAATTCAGCAGTCTTTTTAAGACTTAAATTTATAACACTAATATTGGTTCATAAACCAACACCCAAAATGCACGTAATGTGAGCTATTTGACAATGAAATAAATATCTTCCCTAAGTTTGTTGAAATTATAATGTTTATAAAATGAATAAGGCAAGTACTATAAAGACAATTACAATTTTCAGAGTTTTGGAATGGCAGTAATACTAATAAGTGGAGAAACTAATTTGAAAAATGCAAATTAAGAAAGCTTATTCAGAACACAGTAATTCAAACTACGGGACTTCAATTCTCAAAATATTAGACAATTCATGCAGACCAGCTTCACGTAAACACAAATCTCTCTAGAATCCAATCATTTCCCAACCTTCTCAAAAATGAATTTGCAGCAGACATTTGATTTCGAAAAAAGTCTGCAGAGTTTAACAAAAACCCCTTTTAGCACTTCCTTTGGTGTCAAGTCATAGATTTGTCACCCTTTTCTATTTTAATGCAAATTTAGTATCAAACAAAATTAACCAAAATGTCATTTCAACTTTAAACAAATGCTACATGTCTTTATACAAAACATGATACTAATGGCTTACATTCTCACATAATTGTTATCAATGTTTCCCATTGACTAAGTGGATAAGAATAGTTTTGGAATAAATGAAGTGTGGATAAAATGCAGTTTGGAATAACATTGAATTTTCTACATTAAATTTTTAAGCTGCAAGCCTGTGCTAGCATAAGCATGCTAGTGACCTATCTCAAAACAATGACCAATCTATTACATTTTTGATTTCCTAGTCTCTCATGTAAATTGACAAAGTTTAATAAAAACTGATGGATCAAACTGAGAAAAAATTCAATTCTATAAGCCATATAGAAGAGATCTGCCTCTAGTAATTGGTTAGTACAGATATCCACTTTAAAAATTTTTTGTACTAATTTGAGGTTTGGAATGACATGCCTCATATATGAAACCAATTATGATAATATAGTGTGAGAATTAAAATTAACTTTAGTTTTAATTCAACAGTCAGTTACTTTTATAATTATTCTCTTCTATGTCTAGTAAAAGAAAACTATCATAGTCAAGTTTATTTAAAATGTCCATTTATACAAAAATATACTTCAAAAATAAAAGTTACAGTACACAGAGACAACCCACAGCACTCAATAATTGTATTGGATACATTAAAGAGTATAAAGCAAGAAAATGAATTTTACATTGCCAATAAACACTGCAGTTAAGCAATATAGTTGTGTGTTTTTATTCAATTGTTTAGAAGCTTCTTTTAAAACATTACTTCACATCGTTTTTTTCTAAAATCAAATCTAAATGTCTGCAGATAAAAAAAAGCATACATGATATGCATTTTAAGTTTCATAAAGGATACAATGATAAACAGTAAAAAATACTTTGTGTATAAAAAAGATGCTACTAAACATTGGACACGTCAAATGTGGTTTTTGAATGTTTCCTTTGGGAAATTTTGAACTAAATAATACACAAATGTACAGGATGCCAAAAGCTAAAGAGAAATTTCAGGAAGAAATTGTAAAAAAAATCAATAAATATCTTGTGAACTTGCATTAAAGCTTAAGTGTATCAGCAACATGATTGTGTTCTGCATGCATTAAGTGAAAAAAAACCCCCACACAAACTGGATTGAGTATAATTTTGTCTGAGTAGGAAGTTCTGGGATTTCATTTTATTTTAAAATTAGTTAAATCACTTATTGCAAAAAACATTTTACGGGTGACAAAATAAAAATATTAACTGAAAACTTTTTGTAGTGGGTCATGACTTTTCAGTTGAGTAACAAAGTAACACTGTATTTGATTAATGTGATTTTGTTAAACCTGGTAGCACCAAGGGATTACAGTGGTACCTCAGGTTACGAACGCCCCAGCATACGAAATTTTCAGGATACGACATGAAATTCGAACATATTTTTGCTCCACGATACGAACAAAAACTCACCATACGACGTTACATTAGTTCGCATTTTTCATTTGTTTTTCTTACTACAGTTATTTTTTTNAGATTATACAGTCAAACCTGTCTATAACGGAGCCTGAATATAGCAAAAACCTGTCATTAATGGAAAATTTCTTTGGTTCCATGATTTTTTTTTTTACAAAAATTAATATAAATTAACCTGTATATAGCAGAATCTGTCCACTGGGAAAATGCACAGGAAAATTGGGCCACATAACAGAAAAATCAGTATCTTTATCCAATTTAATACAAACTCATCCAAGAAGTCTACAAGCCTAGCATGTATAAATCAGTCAAAAAATACATATATCAAATACAGAATAGCAAAATACAACTACTGTATTACAGTAATTTTATTGGGATTTGAATGAAAAGATTTTGCAAATTTTTATTTTTATTAACAGCTGTTTTCAGTTAACATAAATGTGTGAAATATAACACATTATGGCATTATTGCTGATGTGATATTAAATAAGCTTCAAAACAAAGAATACAAACCTTTTTGTATCACATTTCATTCGAATAAAATCAAGTCAAAATGTCTGCAGATAAAAATACACATCAGGCATATTATGCATGCTTTTAAGTTTCGTAAAGGATATCACGCTATACAAACAGTAAAAAATACTCGTACCATATATGTGGAAGATATTTCTGAACTCCAAATGTATCAAATGTAGTTTAAAAGTTTTGTTTGGAAAATTTTGAACTGAAGGATACAAAAGGTAGACCCCCAAAAGATGTTGAAGAGAAATTTCAGGAAGAAATTGTTAAAGATTGACAAATAACTGTGAATTTGCAACAGATCTTAGTGTGTGGCAGACTTGCACTGTTGTAACACTTCATCCATTTGAAATGGTTGTAAAACATACTGATAATTATGTTCTGCACAGTTTGCATTTTTTCACTTATGAATAAAACAAACTGAATTGAGTATAATTTTGTCTGACAAAAGATAGATAGTTGTAAGGTTTTATTTTATTTTTGAAATGGTCACTCATTTTTATCTTAGAGAACTTTTTTACAGGTGGATGAAAAATTAAACTTAAAAATATTTGTTATTAACCAAAAATTTGTTCTGAGCAGGTGGTAATTGTTCGGTCGAGTACTGAAGTACCACTGTATTTGATTAATATGATTTTGATATATACAGTAACATCGAGAAATCTATTAATCACATTAATAAAAGAATACCTATAGTAGGTAACCTGTATATAGCAGAATCTGTCCACTGGGAAAATGCACAGGAAAATTGGGCCACATAACAGAAAAATCAGTATCTTTATCCAATTTAATACAAACTCATCCAAGAAGTCTACAAGCCTAGCATGTATAAATCAGTCAAAAAATACATATATCAAATACAGAATAGCAAAATACAACTACTGTATTACAGTAATTTTATTGGGATTTGAATGAAAAGATTTTGCAAATTTTTATTTTTATTAACAGCTGTTTTCAGTTAACATAAATGTGTGAAATATAACACATTATGGCATTATTGCTGATGTGATATTAAATAAGCTTCAAAACAAAGAATACAAACCTTTTTGTATCACATTTCATTCGAATAAAATCAAGTCAAAATGTCTGCAGATAAAAATACACGTCAGGCATATTACGCATGCTTAAGTTTCGTAAAGGATATCACGCTATACAAACAGTAAAAAATACTCGTACCATGTATGTGGAAAATACTTCTAAATTCCAAATGTATCAAATGTAGATTAAAAGTTTTGTTTGGAAAATTTTGAATTGAAGGATACAAAAGGTAGACCCCCAAAAGATGTTGAAGAGAAATTTCAGGAAGAAATTGTTAAAGATTGACAAATAACTGTGAATTTGCAACAGATCTTAGTGTGTGGCAGACTTGCACTGTTGTAACACTTCATCCATTTGAAATGGTTGTAAAACATACTGATAATTATGTTCTGCACAGTTTGCATTTTTTCACTTATGAATAAAACAAACTGAATTGAGTATAATTTTGTCTGACAAAAGATAGATAGTTGTAAGGTTTTATTTTATTTTTGAAATGGTCACTCATTTTTATCTTAGAGAACTTTTTTACAGGTGGATGAAAAATTAAACTTAAAAATATTTGTTATTAACCAAAAATTTGTTCTGAGCAGGTGGTAATTGTTTGGTCGAGTACTGAAGTACCACTGTATTTGATTAATATGATTTTGATATATACAGTAACATCGAGAAATCTATTAATCACATTAATAAAAGAATACCTATAGTAGGTAACCTGTATATAGCAGAAACCTGTCTACTATGGAAGAGTTGTTCAGTCCATTGGGGTTCCATATACACAGGTTTGTCTGTATATGAAAATTTTACATTGTTACATATTATAAAAATACAATATAGCAAATTATTAATGATATACAAATATTGATTTTCACTGAATTTATAAACTTGTGTTTATAACAAAACATTTATAATGTGAGAAATGAAAAATGAATTAAAAATGTAAGCAATGAACATTAAAATTAAATACAGAATTTACTTAAATTTAAAAAAATCTAAGTAGCATATGTAATCTTACAAAAGAGCATCTGAATTCTCTCTCATTTACAATTTATATTTTGTTATTTATTATTGTTCAATCTTAATCATTAGTTACAGATTCCAGCCTAAGAAGAGGCCATCAGTTGCAAAGAATCATCATGGTTAGAGAGAGAGAGAGATGGATGAAGGCATTCCTTCCAATCCAAGTTCAAATACCACTTTTCTCTAATTTGAAGATATTCATAATCTATCCTCATTTTACTCTAAGTTTTAATATTTTCAAATTTTTGTGTAAGCAAATTATAACCTTATTTTTTAAATCTTAAAATCTAATCTATTATGAAACTTGGCACCATAAT